CAAAAAGGATGGAGCACTAATGAGGGCTCAGTATTTGTTGCATTGAGTTGTTGTGCTCTAATGTTGTCTAAATGTACTTGTATGTTAATGTTGTTTGTATACTAAGCTTCGTATAACTACCCGATGTCCTCTACAAAGGACACACAATAAAACTAAAATAACAATACATATTTTTAGTTTTTGCTAGTCATTATGTTTATACCACCCTAAAGACTTGTGTGATCTAAAAAAAAAAGGACATTTGAAACCTTTTTCTTTCTGGATCTCAGGAGATAAACACATTTCATTGCTATTGACCAAGGCCGAAACGAAAAAACTGAACCATTTCTAGAGCAATAAAAACACCTGGTTCATGCAGCTTGTTGGTACGTAATAATAAAAAAGCAGCACACTGTAAGGTTGGCTTGTAAAAAAAGGTTATTTCCTGCATTCTTTGCATAAAAGGATTGATAGTTTCTCAAAGAATTTACCAAAAAAAGGTCATACATTCGCTGCATATTCAGCTATTTAGGGCTGTAATAGTCACAAGGACTTCCTGAGAAAGTTCTAAACTACATTTGATCTCCCTTCCTGTCTCTCCATCTTTCTTTCCTAGCCTCTCCTCTTTCCTATTTTCTCTCTCCTGTCCCCTTTGCTATTTAGCTAGCTGACACAACTAAACAAACTCTGGCCGAGGTCCAGCCAGCGCTGAAGGAGAGGAGATGTCTGTGTAACAAATGACAAAGTGTCAACACCAGGAAATGGCTTTATGTTGAGCCGTGGGTGAGTCTCAGTTTGGGGAAATAGTCTGGCACGCTTGATTAGGCTTGAGCCAGCCAGCGAGGCGCTAACGTCTGGCAAAGTTTGACCTTTCAGGGCCACCATAGACACAGAGAGGGAGAGGGAGAGGTGGGAGAGACAGGAGATGAAGGTGAGTCAACACGAATACTCACAGATCCCATGCCAGAGTCATCCATGCTTCACTTGTATCTCCAATTTGGGATTTTAGTGTGACAGCTGGCCTTTACTCTCACCTGGACAGAATGCAATCCCTGACCTCTGGACCAGGTCGAGAACATTTAGAGGAAAATGAGCTCGGCGTCTCTCACACCACTCAGAGGAAAATACTAGGTTTTATTTCATCGGCCTGAGGTTAAATGCTGAATCCTCTGTGAGAAAGCTGGAAAATGTTAGTTACTAACAGAGGTGGGAAGTAGTGGAGTACAAATACATCGCTACTTTACTTAAGTACATGTTTCTGGTATCAGTACTTTACTCCACTACTTCTTTTTCTGAAGACTTTTTACTTTGACTTCTTACATGTTGAACTCAAATACCTGTACTTTCTACTTCTTACAGTTTGAACACAAATACCTGTACTTTCTACTTCTTACATGTTGAACACAAATACCTGTACTTTCTACTTCTTACATGTTGAACACAAATACCTGTACTTTCTACTTCTTACATGTTGAACTCAAATACCTGTACTTTCTACTTCTTACATGTTGAACACAAATACCTGTACTTTCTACTTCTTACGTGTTGAACACAAATACCTGTACTTTCTACTTCTTACATGTTGAACTCAAATATCTGTACTTTCTACTTCTTACATGTTGAACACAAATACCTGTACTTTCTACTTCTTACNGTCTCTAGCACACACACACACACACACACACACACACACACACACACACAGAGAATACCCTAGTACAACACAGCACAATGAAAACTGCTGCGATCAATGTGAAGCGGATTTCCAAATCATCATCACACACATTTTAATCACAGATTGTCTCCTGCTTATCCGTTTTAAGTTGACTCTAAAGACACCCAGAGCTGATGAGACTAACACGCTCCTAATTACTCGCTTCAGGCTGAGTCAGCAGAGTGGACGATGCTGAGGGAAAAGCCAACAGAAGGTTCACAAATGAAGGCATTAAGCCACCAGATTTAAGCCCACAGCGCTGTCGTGCACGGCCGCTTTGAAAACATTTGCTTTATCTTAAAATAATAATAACGGGCCGCTTACGGACGCTGCTGAAGTATTAGGAACTGGGTAGAATTGTGTTAGTCGGCTCCTTTAAATGAACTCCGATTCCTTATTTCTTTATAAGTTACATTTAAGAGAATTATCCTAATGTGTCTGTTAAATACAATTCAGACACCTTTAAACTTGCTTTGTTAAAAACATTAAGAACTAATCCTGGTCTGACTTTTAGAGTTTAGCAAATTATTTATGAACCACAGCATTGAATAGTACAACAGTAACATCTGTTCACACCTTACACTGTAATGTTACTTATATTCTTACATTTCTGTTATGCGTTTTTAATTTGTATTCTTATGGCTTTTGACAGTTTTAAAATGTATTAAAATGTTATCTTTGTGCTTTTGTAACACACTTGGAACTGCTGCGCTGATAAAATGTGCTGA